AGATCCCTCTCACAGTTACTACTATTGAGCAAGGTACCCCCTATACTATACCTGTACATTTGGTTTTTCTTGCCTAAATGTAGAACCTTACTTTTTTCACCATTGAATTTCATTTTGTTAGATAGCGCCCAGTGTTCAAGTCTGTCCAGGTCCTCCTGTATCCTAAGCCTGTCTTCTGGAGTGTTGGCTATTCCTGCCATCTGCAAATTTGATGAGTTCCCCATCTATCCCCTCGTCCAGATCGTTGATGAAGATGTTGAAGAGCACTGGGCCCAGAACAGAGCCCTGGGGCACCCCACTACAAACTTTCCTCCATGTAGATGCGGTTCCATTGAGGACCAATGCTTCTTAGATGGTAATAATCTAATTTGCGAAGTTTATAAGTAGCTCTTGGAACTTTTTTGGGTTCCTAACTGGGATAAGAAAGCTTTAAAAAAAATCAAGGAATACATCACTCTATAATATTTATAATTTAAAATTTTTATAAAAGACCTTACCCAAGACTGTATATGATTCTCCAGTAAATCTATCTCGGCTGCCCCTTATCAAAGGTGAGCGTGAGCTAACCGATGACCGCTTTGGAGATGGAGTGCCACTTCTGTAAGATGCAAGAAATTAATTTGTATTGACTGTGACAGTATATAAATAAAAATGACTACAAATGAGTTAAGGCACCAAATTAGTTTGAACGCTTTGAAAAAAGAAATAAATTTGGCAGAAACATTTAAGACAAAAGATTGTATAAGCAGGCATGCTTTACATTTCTATATATTCAAAACAAAAAGGCATGCAGATAATAGGATAGTGGAACATAAAGCATATTGCAACCACAGAAAAGTTACCGACAAATTATTAGGTGGTTATTCTATAACAACACCAAAAAAAAGTCTGCTTATGAAGATGTCCAATTTGGCCATATTAATACTTTAAATGTTAGCATCTTAAAATTAAAAAAAAACGCCCAATTTCAGTATTGCATCACCCTTTCTCCCTTAGGGTATCTCCCAGCTTTAAAGCATTGCACTGATAATACAGGTAGTCCTCAGTTAATGATCACTTGTTCAGCAACTGTTTGAACGTACAATGGCGCTGAACAAGTGGCAGTTGTGACCAGATCTCAAAGTTCTAGCTATCACGTGACCACCATCTTGGTCCTTGGCAACCAGCTTGAATGTATGACAGTTGCAGCATTCCACAGCCACAGGACTGCCATTTGCAATCTTCCCTGCAGGCTTCCCACTAGTGAAATATATAGAGAAACCAGCAGGGAAGGTTGCAAGTCACTCCTGTAAGTCATTCAATCCTAATCCCTCTGCTTTTTTCTCCTAAGGACCTGAGCTATGGAGTGTGAGATTGGAGTCCACAAGCACTCTTTCACCCATACCCTGGGCATATTTGTACTGTGCTGTAGTGGCCAGATGAACACCCTCTCACGCTGGCAACAGCCACCCCCAGCCTGGCCACATTCATGCCATGTTGCAGTAGCCACCTAGTCACCAATGAACCAGCCTTCTTGCAAGCCATCCAGGACTTCCCCTTCACTTTGTTGGAAGGAGACAGGACGCTGATTGGACATCCCGGCTTAACAGCCCCAAATCAACAAGCAATGGGAATTGTTGTTGCTAAGCAATGCAGTCATGTGACATCGCAGTTTACAATTATATTGTAAGCAAGGACTACCTGTAGTCAGCACATCTTATCCTTATGAATGGATTATATAAATACCGGAGATGTACTAAATTAGACTAATTTACTTACTATAATTTAATCTGTAATATAATAAACCACTATGGACAACATATTGATGATCAAATATCATACTTAATTACTTCTTAGGGAGTATAGGTCCATTTTTGGTGAAATGATAATGATGCAAAGTGATTAGGGCCACATTGTTTATATACTTGGAAGTTTATTTTTCCCATTAGGTTTCTTTGGGGAGGGTTGGAAATTTATTTTTTAAAAAATAAAAAATGCTCTTTTGAGGCTTACATTACACTTTTGATGTGTTTCCTGCCTCAAATTGGCAAAAAATTGAAATTCAGAAGGACAGTTGGAGGGAGCTCTAGAGTTGCCCATCCCTTCTGTAGACCATAAAGCAGAAATTATTTTTCCAAAATAAAACCTTACTGTGGATGCTGAAAACATTAACCATATATCACTGAAAAATTGTTTCACCAAGTAAACATTTCAGAAAACTACTTACCAAAAGAAAAAAGAAAGAAAGAAGTGAAGCATGAAAGACAGCAAAGCCAAGAAATTAAAGCATTTATTCAAGCAAAAGGATTAATACACACATCTCTTTTCATATTCCAAGTCAGTCATTACTGCAAAGTCTATTCTAATTACTACCATAAGAGCAATCTTAGATTTGCTGTCAGGTTATGCAGAAAAATAGCAAGTTTACTTTACTAAAGCACGGCCATGTTTGGTATAAAACAAACATAGTCTAAAATTAATACTCCCCCCCCCCCAAAAAAATGTTACATGCTATTTTTCCGATGTGCTCCAAGTTCCCTTCACCCAAAAATATTTTTATATTGACAGCCTTTACTAGTATTTTCAACAGCATTTATAATTTTAAATATTCGTCATACTTGAAACCATCAATCAATATATGAATAAATACAAGCCAAATTAGGTGATTGTATTAGGACAGTACCATGATGAATATAATCAACTGATCTGATAAGCCACTGTAGTTGAGCTGTTTCATTTCCAGGGTATTTTGTTTATTCAAACAAAAAAAAAGTGTTTTAACTAGAACGCTCTCTCTGTATGAAAAGGCATGCAGGGTAATTATAAAAACTTATCTGATTAAGAAAGTCTGCTTTATTCTTTTCATGTAGAATTCTACCTAGTCTGTCTATAGAGGGCAGAAGAAACCAATATTTTAATTCATACTGTAGCAGACACAGAGCCAACACAGAATTTCACCGATCAACCTCCTCTAAACATGATTGATCCAAAACTGCTAACACAGTGCTCTTATGTTTATCCATTCATTTCATCAGCTGATTGAAATTTTTGGAAAGAGGGGGTCCGTATTGATGTCAACTCCTTTTTTAACATAGTAAGCAGCCCCCCTTCCCCTCCAAATGTGTGTACACGTGTGTATGAATGAATGAATGTGTGAGAGAGCGTACATACTGTATGTAGGAAAGATTTTTAAAGAGAAAGTGCTTCTATGCCTATTTTTAGCAGGATGTGGTTATTCATTAATGAAATAAATTCAAAACAAGCTAGGCAGGTTCCTATTTCAGATTTTCTTCATTTAAATTTAATTACCCCTCCTTTGCAAATTATTAGAAGCAACATAGTGCTTTGGATGCTTTGCACAAAGGAAATTAGAGGGGAGATGCAAAAGGTGACAAATTAAAGCACACTGAAGATTCTATTGGAGTACAGTGGCTTGTTTACTGGTAAAGGCTGTGGGATTCATGCCAAGCCTATAGAGAGACAGAATTGAAAGGGGGGAAAAAATGAAGAGTAAAGCTGGAGGCTAGACCCTATGGCTAAAAGGAGGCACAATATCACCTTGTACTGTTCTTCAGAAGGGTAATCTGGCCACTGTCAGATAAAAATAGTTTGTTAAAGGCTATTTTCTGCTATACAAAGTTTTATACTTAAAAAGCAGTAGTTTAAAAAAAACAATTTCTAAATTGCTACTATGGGAGGAGGATTATTGTAAAAAGTCATCTGCTTGTATGATATGTAACACTGTCACGACACATTAATCCAGAATTGGTGCTCACTACAGTTTGTATACTTACCCATAGACAGTCTGCTAGACAATATGGCAAATTATATCCAGAATATGCGGTTAGCTCTCCATATAAACCAATATCTCAGTTAAAGAAGAGGTTATTGTTCTTAGTATGGCTGATATAGTTATTATGCAGAGTTTTTGCTGCTTCATGGCTGAATTATTTTCCCAATTTTCCCACAGCAACGCATCATGTCTGGCTAGGGTAGGACACAGCTTTAAGTGTATTACATGTGTAGCTAAGTGACACCAATGAAACCATAATTCTTTTAATGACCTGCGTTATGATTTACTATGACCAATTTAAAGTATTGACAAAACCCCAAATCTTATGGTTCCATCGGCAAGAACCATACTCACAAAAAATGACTCTGCACAGCATACAAGGTCAAAAAACAATAATACACAAATAATTATTATTTAAAAACTATAAAACATCATTGACGTGATGAGCACTAAGATTTCTGATGATATCAAAGGCAGTGCCATTCCTTTGATGAAGGATAATATATGCCTCATATATCTGTAAGGGGTGTTTGTGCTGTTTGCTGAGTGTCATTTAAAAAATTATTCAAGTATCTTTGGTTTGAATTAATTCTAACACTTTAGGCTCCATTTTTATGTTTTTTATGTTTTTTTAAAACTTGGTTACAAAAAGGTACAAAATAACATGGTTTTAATAAGGGTGATCTTAGAAAACCCCCGAAGTTCCACATGTGTTATTTCTTTGGTAAGAAAAACTTCTCCTTCAGTTTATAATTAAGATTTCCCATAAGAAAATTTCCCCATAATTGTGACATAACTTTCATAACCTTCACATTATTTTTCATATTTTTAGTTTATGCAGAAATTTGTTTCCAATAAAGCATCATTTTACATGTAAAATTCACGAGTAGACACAAAATGCAATAAATTATTGAACCCAAATATGTAAGTAATATAGTCCATTATATTTAGCACAGTAAGATTTATGACCATACACCTAAGCAGAAAATGTGAAATGTATTATCTCGTAATGTTATTGCATTATCACTTTTTGCAGAAAATGAGAATTCTCATTTTTTTCCCAAAGATGGGACATTTCAAGAATATCTCATATTGTTAGTAATATGAACAATAAGAATCAATAGCAAGAGTTTCTAAAACTGAAGGTAATAAATATATATTTTAATCCCTTACGCATATCCAACTTCGCCTTTAAAACATTACTTAGAATGGTTCTGTCTTCTCACCTGCCTTTATTTTCTTTTCCTTTTGTTTTGCCTTCTTGGCTTTTCCCTCCAGTAGAGTCCCACTCAACATAGGTATCTTCAACTTTTAAGTTAAGATGAGATGATGAACCATCAAGATTGAATATAAGAGCTAAACAAATATTAAAACAGAATTTACTATCTTTATTTAATGCAAACTCCCTTCTCTGTGTCATTGTTTTTTCTCCTGAAAATTAATAGCCCTTTAGATTATTTATATCCGCACACATCCACAAAGATATATACACAATAGAAGACAACCTTGACAATTTGATATTAAGGGAGTTCTGGTAACAGTCATAAATAAAAAATAGTTATAAATAAAAAATAAATAAAAACAGTGTATGCCTTTTCAATGTTAACTGATATAAGGGCAGAAAACATGCTAATCTAATTGACAGAGCACTAGATTATTATCGTTTGATCTTTCAGTGGTTAAATAAATGTATTAAATGGAGAAAGCTTAGTATTTAAATGATAACACTCAGAAACATATTTCCAATTTTTACTGCAACAAAATTACAGTGCCCATGAAATGATTGCTAATATTCCCAGAGGCCAGAAATGTTAAAATAGCCTAGAAGTCAGAACTGAATCACATTCCTCATGGAATATGCTCTATGGAACTTTAAAGTTTATTTTTATCACTTAAATGGCATACCTTAGGCTACTTTGTTGTACTTGTCTTATTAGAAATTATGTAATATAATATTGTATTACATTAGAGTGCATTATATAGGTATTTCTTATTTTAATGTAAAACTTTGAACATTCTCTAGAAAAGAAACTCTAGAAAAACAAGACATTTGCATAATGCTAAATTTGAAGATTATTCTAAGTGATGATTCACTCCATTAAAAGTAACATAAATAAAATATTATTAATTCATCTTCCATAAATGGTTCAAAGTTAGTAGATGTAAAGCTGAAAAACAGCACTCTAAAGCACTTTAGCAGTTCTAATCTTACTGCAATGAATTCTACCATATGTGTGTATAGACACAATGCACACACCCCAGCCAAATTCTTTTTAAAGCAACACTTAAGATCAGTTATCCTTAAATAATCCTGGGCTTTCAATCCCAGAAATAATATTCGGAACATTTTTGCACATGCTGTGGCAATGATAATTGCTATTAAAAGCTTCACATATTTTTTCTTATACAAAGAACATGTATCAATAGCAATAGCACTTAGATTATAAACTGCTTCATAGTGCTTTACAGCCCTCTCTAAGTGGTTTACAGAGTCGGCATATGACCCCCAACAATCTGGGTCCTCATTTTACCGACCTTCAAAGGATGGAAGGCTGAGTCAATCTTAAGCAGGTGAGACTCTGCGCCACCACGGCTCTTATATATAGTTAACTGATAATACCTTATATTAAAACTGATATTAGCAAAAGGGTTCAAATGACATTCTTAGTATTTTCAGTTTCTCCAGATTTACAAGCTTTTCTTAAACTTAAACGTCAAAGCTAGTTAAGGCAGAATTGCTCCTATTTGTAGATCTTTTCACGTATATGGAATCTGCAAATTCTGATGAAGCATACTGTCCAGCATCAAGGCTGTAACTCAAATGCTAGGTTACATCAAATGGAGACATAGGTACTGCCAAAGATAGTTCTTTTATAGTCAAGCTCATATCTGACCAATATTTGAGACAATACATGAAGCTAATTTTAGGGGGTCAATTTTACCTTTTGTCTCTAAAGTCACAGGATCCGAATAATCCCCAGCCACAGCCTTGTTGCAAGCTCGGACACGAAAGTTCATGTATTTTGAATCAAATCTTAGTCCTGGAAGAAGAAGTAGAAAAAACCTTCAGACACACAAAGATTTTATGATAAAAAAGAGTTAGCGGCATAAGAAAGATCAAAATTCTGATGCTTGGCAACTGACTCACATTTATAACGGTGGAAGTATTCCACCGTTTGAGGCTTTCTGACAAACAAAGTCAATGGGGAAGCCAGGTTCACTTAACAATTGTATTACTAACTTAACAACTGCAGTAATTTCACTTAACAACTGTAGCAAAAAAGGTGGTGAAACGGGGCAAAATTCACTTAACAAACGTCTCACTTAGCAACAGAAACTTTGGGCTCAGTTGTGGTCATAAGTTCAGGACTAGCAAAACTCAAGATAATCTGAAGAGGAAACAAAAAGATAGTTACCTGATAATGTATATTCAGTGCCCTTAATGTAGTCTATAGATTCCCAACATCTCTCATCTTTTATGCGAGGAAGACCATCAAAATTGGTTTTTCTAAATTCAAGTATATAGTGATCGATTTTGTTGTCTTCTTCGGCCATTTGCCATGCTACTGTTACGGCGTTATCAGCTACCAGACAGTCTGTTAAAATAATCTCTGGAGCTCTGGGAACTGTTAAACAATATAAGCAAAGAAAACATTGATAAAGTAGAGTTCTACCTCTAAACTATGCTTTAGGAAAATCCAGGTAGAGGAATATAGACTTGATCATTAACAGAGCTACTGAAATATATTTAGACAAAATGACTGGCTTCAAACATGAAACTAAGCTACAAGGTAGATTTTCTACTTTTAGCTTATTATGTTTAGTGAACCACAGACGATAAATCATGGTTTATGGTTTGGTTTATAAATCATGGGGGTGAACCCAGCCATAAACCACTGATGTTTACACAGCAAATTTGAATATGAACCATTCCTCAGTCTGCAATGCTCACTTCTCACTTGAATCCAAAAGAAACCTCAATTTGATTCAAATGCTTCTCGCACTCCATTTTGTTGGAGAAATAAGACCCAATCCTTGAAGATTCTCAACTATAGATGTTTTTGAACACCAGTGCCAAACATCATCTCTGATTGCTTGAGAAAGATGAAGGATCTTCCAAGCAAAGTGAATACCGTGAATGCTTCCAGTAAAATAGGCACCCATTAATAGTGGTTGAAGTTTTGTACTTTTATGTCACAAATAGAAAAAAGAAGTCTGGCATTATTTGTGTGAGTATGATAGAGTGGAAAGAAATATGAGAAGCAGCAGCAATTAATGGCAATTAAATGTACACGCCAGTAACCTTTGGACAATTCTGGACTGAAATTCCAGTGAGTCATTCAATATAACTTTCAAAATTGCAGTCACCTGTGCCTCAATTCATTTACATTCCACTGTTCATAGCGCTGAATTAAAATTACAGTTATCTGAATGCTTAGAATTGCCTAAATATTTAGGTGCTTTATACTACCAGGCTAAAAGATTCATCCACAATATAGTATCAGGTTTAATATCCTTATAATTTTCAACCAACTTTTTTGTGAACATACAGATGCCACAAAAATGCTATTTGGTAAACTGACTATGCAAAACTAAAAGCAAAGCTTACTGAAGATTAGCAATTGGAATTAGATACCATAGGTTAATAGATAAAGTTGTGATTTTTCATGTATCTATTTGGTAATACTTCCATCTCCTAGAATGCATCATAGACTGTTTAATTCCCACTGCCATTTAGTCTTTGCTAACTAGTGTAGATAAACTCTGGTACTATATCAATAGGCATTTTAAAAACTACAAAACACAACCTACACTGCAATATACAGTTATGAACCTCTTTACTTCCCTACTGCCCTCACTTCAAAGATATATTCCAAAACGAACTATGGAAAAAGGAAACACTTTATTATATTTATTTACAGAGGAAGAAGAGTTTTATATGTAACTCATTCCTGAAAATCACATTCTGTTTTTTACCTGGCAAGAACTTTAGTGCCTGAAGCATTCGTCTCTCCTGAGAAAAATCCACCATCAAGTGTGTCATATTGTCACTCACTTTAGGTTTCAAAGACAAACGGAATGCTGGAGCCATTGTGACTCTAAAGTTAGGAATTAAAAAGACAGGCTTTTAAACTTCTGATAATACTTAATGTTCTATAAGATGCAAACTACTTGGAAAGTATTTTAGTCAACACACTGAAATCTAGAAGCGTGCTAAACTACAAGTAGTAGCACATTCTCTGAGTCACTCTTACTGAACAGTTTTAAAGGCAGACAAGAGACTATTACAAGTTAGTAGAATATTTTTGGTAGTCAGATAACTTTTAGCAATCCTGTACCTAGTGCAAGTAATAAATAAAACTTAATTGATAAATAATGTGCTTTTCCATATACTGTATACTAAGTAACTGGCATCATGAGCATAAGAGCAATTGTTTCATAAATGATTCACTGACAGTATAAAAATCAGGTTTTTCAATACTAATTGCACATCCTATTTAAGGATTCTTTATGGAACATTATTCCCTCCGAGGTACAGTTGACCCCCCACTCTGCTGAAGGACCCTAATAATGTAAATTTGTCAGTGGGCCTGGAGATCACAAATGGAAATGGAGCTGATCAAATGGCTGATTTAATTGTATTGTTGCTGCCATGGGGGCTGGTGTGTGTATGTGTTAATGGTTTTATTATATGGTGGATCTTTTAAATCTTTTTTAAATCTTCTAAACCAGGGGTGTCAAACTGCTGGCCCATGGGCCAGACATGTCATGACAAAACCGCGCCCATTCCATTGGCGGCAATGGGGAAAAAGTTCCATGACGTCGCGAGTTTGACATGTCTGTTCTAAACAGTCCTGAGTCACCTATGTTTGAGTTAGATAGCTATATAAGTTTGTTTAATAAATAATCTACAAACTGCCTAATATATTATAAACAAACTGTCTAGGTAGCAAAAGTGATTTAGTCACCTGGGAAAAGCGTAAAGCTTATAGTGAAAACATTTTTATTCGAAATTATTTATTTATAATTTGCAGTGACTTAAATATAGTACTTATAACTACAATATCTGTATTGTATATTAAGGATCAAGTGCTTTTATAACAAAAATTTATTTCTCCCTTGTCTTTATAAATGTACTAAGCAAAAAGTCAGTTAAAATCTATGGGCATGGTTCCATTCACACAAAGTTAATTTCCAATGCCCGTCAGTGGAAGGGGATGTTTAATGCCAGTCCTTAACATACTTAGGAGGATGAGAAACTATCTGGAAGAGTTTAGGATGTAATGCAAGGGACTGAGGAACCAATCAAAATAAAAATATTAAAATCATCGTATCTCACTCTGGGTGAGAGCTTTGCAGGCTCCAATGAGTTATTATTACCCAAACCCCACAGTAGATCAAAATAATTAACAAACACTACAGTGAGTGTAATACAGGCACTGTGAAATATCAAAATGACATTAGGTTTGTAGAATCTATTTTGGATATATTACATGGCTGGGAAATTACAGAGTGAGACCTCAGTTCCTACTTAAGTCTTATTCAGGGCATGCTAAATCTATTTTAGAAAATTAGGTCACAGGTTTAAAAATATAGAACAGGAAAGTATGATGAGTACTGAAACAGGTACCCAAAAGGTATAAAGAAAGGTCAAATTATTATACTATACTTTGATTACAGATGAATTAAAAGCTAGAACAACTTTTTCTGGATAGAAAAAAAATTATTTGGAACTTGCACAATTACAGCAATTGTGTACTATTCTGCACATAATTGAAAAAAGAATGCCACTGTTTCCAGAATCACTTTAATAACCTAACTCCTTAAAACTTCTTTTCTAAGGCTTGTGTATAGACACATGAAAAAGAACGCAAGTGTTTTAATTAGGACTGCAGAAATGCTATGCAACTGTATATATCATTAATATATATTCATACACAGGTCTACACACAAATATGCAAATATGTCTCAAAAGGGACATTTATTGCAAGGGCAAGCATCTTCATAATTGGTTTCAATTGGACTTAGAAACCCTAGGTTGATAGACTAGGCACTTAACAGATATTTATTTTATGTTTCTTTAGGTTTGTTACATTTCCTTTTAGGGTGTAATATTCTTAATTTTAAAGTCTTGTTCCTTTTATTAAGGATGTCCCATAAGATATTTTAAAAAGAAAGCTATATGTGGGCAAAGTTTAAAAACACAAGTATAAAAAATAATTGGAAGATGGTACTTCTAGTTATCCAGATTCTTGTTATCTAAACATAACACAAACCAACACCCATTTTATGAGCCGTTTAATTTGCTCTATGCTCACTTATTAAGAAATAAACCTGTCTTGATTTGTGTAGTAGATATGGACACTGTTCAGTGTTCCATAACCTGAATTGATTTAAAATTCCAAATATTGTATATATAAAAAAATAATCTCCTCACCTATAGGAAGTAAAATATAAAGAGCAGATGTAGAAAAACACTACCTGAAATCTTTTCTAGCAATCTGATTATTTTGAAATATGTTCCATATCAAATTTCAGCTTTCCAGGTCACACCGAAGAACCCTAACAAATTACAATATTTATATCTAGCTTCATGGAAACAAACACCTTGAAATCATCTATCAGAACCTCCAACTAAATTTTAAATTTATCCTGAGATAACAGACTAACATAGGAAAAAATGATTATTATCCTAATCACATTTCTGTTTCAATGGTTCTTTTTACAAGTGAAAGTTAACACACATCACAGGCATAGGGAAACATAAGGCCAAACAGAGCAATGCATCTTGTCAACATGCAAAGCATAATCTTTTGGTTGCACAAATCACATCAGAAAAATGACCTGATTCTAAAATTCTCAACTCTAATTAAGAATAATTACAAACAGAATCAAATGAGTTTGTACTGTACCTATCCTTGATCTGTCTGGCAGCCTTGAGGTGCATCAGGAAGAAGAGAGAGAAGGTAGTTAATGGTTTCATGCAAGTTTCATCTGCAGTAACATGCAAGAAAGAGTTAGTGAATGATTCACAAGGTCAATCGGAAGGTTATAATTGAAGGTTGTGCATC